TTATATATCCATGTACATATGTATGTATATAGTAATAGAAAATAAATATAATAAAATTGTGACAACACATTTATATATTGGGAAGTAAATATTTCCTCTGCTATTTGGAAAAGGGTCACTATTGAAACACCGCAATTTATGGGTATAGCAGGTTACAAGAAGCGGCACGATCTTACCGTCTCAATTCAACTAAAAAAATACATAAATATATAAAATATTATGTATTGTGATAGAAAGGTACTATATATTTTTTATTATTATTTGAAGTATATAATAATAGAATTATTTTAAAAATAAATTCACGAAGTATTGTATTAATTTTCAATTTGTTTGTTTTCTAAAATTTTCCCATTCATAAATAGGGCAAAGAAGTTTCTAAGAGGTAGTAGCGACACCCACACGCACAGCCAGCACAAGGTAAGTGATCTTTAAAGAAATGTGGATGCATAGGCATAGTCATTAATTCTATATCTACTTGAGAAGTATGATGAGGCAGATTATCTCCACTGGCGATTCTATCAATTGAAGCGAAAACAGCAGCTGGTGCAAATTATGATATACAATCAAATTTCCATAACTCGGAAAAGTGCATTTTATAAGTCGAATTTTTGTTTTAAGTATAAATGCATTTTGCTGTTAGGGGAAGTCCCTTTTTCAAACCAAATCTTTAATTTTTTCTTTCTTATGTTGATTCTTTTTGCTAATACCAGTCGCTGGCAGCATGGTTTAAACTAAATGATACAGACGGTATTATTGAACATTATAGCTTTGAATTAGTGGAGCCGGTTCTAAACGCACCGCAAAGTGATGATGAGGGTTCGGTGGATGAAATTGTTCATCAGCCGTCCAAGAATGAAGTAGAAGACTCATTCAAATTTCTAAATTTATATTTGCAAACGAATGATACTACAACTGATGATCACTATAAGGCCTTGAATAAATTGGAATTTCTTTTTACTGAAAATAAGAAAAAAATTAAAGTCCCAAACCCTAATTTCTGAATATTTTATTTCACTATAACTTCTGTACTTTATTTGATTGCAAATAAATAAAAATCTTAAAATATAATTCTAGTAAATAAAAAAATTCTCTAACTCGAAGTCTCCATAAGTTGAACCTTTTCTTTGAAAAATTGTTCTTCGGTCTTATAACGCAGACGGTATTTTGATACTGTAGGCTTAAAACATTGTATCAACACTAGTTTTATATAATGACGGTAAAACAACGGTAGTTTAATAGCACGGGATAGAAACTTGTAAATGGCAACTCTTTTATAATTTATTTTGAACACAAAGAAACTTATGTTGTATTAGTATTAATAAAAAAAAAATTAAAAACAACTTTATTTTCTTTGTTAATGTTCTCTCCAACTAGTCGATTAAGAAATTTATTGTAAAGACCTGGGCAATGACTCAGTATTAACTCATCGAACAACGAATCCGTGTCGTTATAAGAAAAGATTTAGTGGATGATTTTAGCTTTTCAATAGTCATGCATCCACTAATGCTTTTTGATCATGGTATGAAGGTCCACTTAACCCGGGAGTGTTACATGATCCCTGTTCACAGGACGTTTGCTTGAAGTCAAAGGATCCATCAATATGCCCAATGTGAGTGTCTCGGAACTCGTGGTTGAAGAGTATAAATCCACCAAACTAACATGAGCAAGTTATTGAAATTCGATCTTACGACTATTTAGCGTTTGGTGGAATAGCTCCATCATACCCTTTGACTGAGGATAATAGCAGTCATATGGATGTGCTTGATACACAGGAGCTTCTTTATGTCTTGAAAAACTATGAATTGACATTATATATCGATCACTATTGTATATGGACTACCAGAATTTATGACGCAGTCGTCGATTAATGTATTTTCTGCTTTCTCCGCGAGAATACCTACAATATCTATCTGCACATGCTGGAACCATCCATCGACAGTTGTAAAACACCTAACGGTTGTTTAAGTCTAACTCTATACTTTGACCAATTGACATGGGACTCAGGTGCGAATAAACAAAGCTATATATAGATTGTAACAATATGCGTGTCGTTTGGAATGTGCCTTTAATATGATTTACTGCCTGTAGCTTGTCCGAACGTATGGGCGGATATGGGTACTGGAGACGTTACAGTGCAGCTCCAAGTTGGTATTTCGAAGTTTCAACTTCTTCATTTTGACCGATGCTTCTGATTGGTGTTGCAAAAAAATTTGTGATTCTTGATAGGCGTTGTGCTCAGTGTAGACCGTGTAGACTTTGCTTGTTTCATATTGATCTGCACCTGTTTGTGCACCTGCCTATTTCGAATAAAATGTGTGTTAAAGGTTAAATTATGTATTTCACTACAGTGCTGCACCTACTGCGTAGTCTGAAGTATCTGCCATTCTTACAGACTTTTATTTTAGCAATTGTCGGGCGTAAAGAAACCTTGTTGATTTGAGATTGCGTTGCGTAAGAACGGTAGACAAAAATTCTTAATTCCTAAGAATTTTCTCAGACTATTTACAGTTTGTGGTAAGGAATAATTTCACAATGCCTTGACATTGCTTGATGGAGAATGAAAACCATTCGTATTGATAAAAAAAAAACACTATTCGTGTTGAAAAAATTGAAGCTCTGTTTTGCGGTAATCACGTTGGTCGAAGTTATTTTGCACGCCTGTGTGCCTTAAACATTCAAGTACCATTGGCAAGTGCTCTTCGTTTTCTTTTTCATATTTGATGCGATTAGAATGTTGTCGATGTACGCGAACACTAACTATAGGTCGCCAAGTGTTTCGTTAACAAACCGTTGGAATATTTGTGCCAAAATTTAAACACGTTGAATATTAACGTGATCGCCACCCTAGAGATTTTGGCAGTCGCCACTAGTATCTGATGGTACGCTTTCTGGAAGTCAATTTTTAAAAATATGGTTGTCGCTTGCAAATGAATGTAACGTTGTTTATACGAATAAACGAGATAGGATACCGGTCGCGCTTTGTCTGTTTATTGAGTATGCGGAAATTGACACACGGCCGTCAACATCCATTGCGTTTCTAAAGCCAGTTTAATGGGCTAGCTCAAAAGCTTTTCGATGGCAAGTACATGCATATCATTAGAAATTTGAGCTTTTCCTTGGCCTTTTATTGTAGTAGATTAAAAATGTATCTGGGGCCGGCCAAGCATTGACCACGGATAGTACTTTAGACAGTCCTGGTCTATATAAAATGGGCTTTATGCAAACAACAATAATAATTTATAGAACCATTAAATTTAAAATTTCTTATCAGCAAAAAAATAAATTGAAAGATAAATATGAAAATTACATTATTTTTTAAGTAACAGCAATTTTATTTTATAGCTCTTGTAAGCTTTTTTTGATTAAGTTTTTATTTAATTAATATTTTATGTAATTAATAGTTTTATTGAAAATATTAAAATAATAAATGTTTTGCGTCTTTTTTTTTTTCTTGTCTTACAATTTTACAATTGGGAAAATTATTAGAACCCAAATGCAAATATACGAAAATGCGTGTTTCGACTATGTGAAAACATGGACTTATTTATAGTAGTTGATTATAGTATAAAATAAAATATAAAGTAATCAAGTATGCATGTATTCAAACTTTCAATATTTTAATGATATACTGTTTTTAACATTTCATTGTCATTTCATTTCGATTTCTGTAGCGTTTCAACATTTTTTAACTCTCATTAATATTGTGTGTGTTTAAAAGCAAATGTCAAATCTTCTTCAATCGTATGCAAGAAATATTTTAAATTTGCGCTCAAAATTTTAGCAATTTTGTAATATTTTCATATAGCGGTTGCAGCCAGCTATTATACGCTGTTTTAATTATTTAGTTTAAGGAAATTAAGAGTTTTCAAGAATATATCTATTATCACATCTCAATTCTAATCAGAAATTTGTGTGGTGGAAATTGGCTTTTTGAAATTTCTCTGTAAGTAAGTTAAGCAAAATATTTTCGACTGTTATATATCAACATAAGTTATTTTTATGTAAGAAAAATCTTTACTCAGTGGTGATAAAGAATAAATACTAGTTTTTACTAAATTAAATTAAATTTTTGAATAATATATTAGGCGTTTTCGGTGGCTTCCACGTGTGGTAAAAAAACGTATACTGGTCAATATCCCCTAAGCATCTTTTTGCAATCTGTCAAATGTTGCACATAAATCAAGCAAATTACATTTTTTATAAAAATTAATACAAAATTCAAAATTAAAATGAATAATGAACTTAAAATAATGTTAAGAATTCAACTAATAAGTCAAAAAATGTAAAGTGCTTTTTAATTATACTTTCATCATGTACTCATATAAAGTTTTGTATATAATTGTGTATATATTTTTAAAATATTTATTTTCCACGAATTTGCATATTTTTTGCATCATTTCCACAATTATCAAACCTGTGAAACTTTTTAATTTTGTTTGCGCAGTTAGTTGTTTACATATGATTTTTGACATATGATTGCAATATTCGCTGGAGTTTCTAATGAAGGTTCACAATAGTTCGTTTATTGTGTTGGTACAGTTTTTTCTTTACTGGCTGAAGTGTTTTCCCAGTAAACAACTACTGGCCTAGATAGAGAAAATAGCAACTTCCTGTTTTTTATCACACGCGAGCCACCGAAAACGCTTATTGATATACAGTTCTAGTGGTTTTGTAGTTAGTAACAATTCTTCATTTTACACTGTTTTCCGAAATGCATTTTTATTTATTTTCATACCATATATACAGTCTTTTCATATTATATGTAGTATCATTTACCCATTAAGTACCAGACAATTTCAAACTAGAAATTTTACGGTTTAATTTTCATAGTAAATAGTAAAATAAAACAAATTTAAGTATATGAGAAAAGTTTAATATTTGAAAAATTATTTAATTTCCATAGTATAAAGTAAAATAAAACAAATTTCAGTAAATAAGAAAAGTTTAATATTATTTGAAAGATTACTCTCACTTTATCTTCAGCCAAAATATATGAAATGTTTTTTAAATGTTAAAAAATATTCAAAGCTAGCCGGTGGTCCGAAATGGGTTAAACCATTTGACTTATATACATCTGACACGCATTGATATCTGGTACGTTTTCAATTTTCATTTGTCATTTATTTCATTTAAAATTTTTTTCTTTTATGTGGCAACTATATAGCAACCATATGAACATCAAGTCAAAGTTTTCGAATTTTAGATTATAGTTGTGACATTTTAACAGCTGCTCTAAGGCACAAAGTAGTTTGCGGAATAATAAATATTTAATTCAATTGAAATAAATTATTATAACAACTGAAACCGGCAAAAAATTAAAAAAATCACTTTTTTAGTTAGTTGGTTATTGGTAAATATGTCGCCTGAAACTTGTTTTGGTAAACAGTACAGCTTTCTGACGTAAACTGAATATTCTATATAATCTGTGAAGCAATATATTTGAACCGCCTTCGGAAGAAAAAGTTCACTATTGGTAAGTTTAATAGTTGTATTTTAATATATTTATTTTTGAAAAATTTTAATCTTAACATAATTCAAATCTTAACATTAAATTCTGCAAAAAGGTGTAACCTTTTGTAGAAAAACTGTTATTTTTCACAGGTGCTGCGTAGGAGTAAAGTAAAATACGTGACTTCATGCCAATTTTAGTAGTCTAAATTAAGTGTAAAAACCATGCAGTGTGTTAGCAATGATGGACATAAAACAAAAAATTTAGTTTTGTATCAAATATGTGACGAAGTTCCAGTACAGGGTTTTATATACCAAAGTAAATATAAAAAAACTTTAAAAACACTATGTAGTTTGACATATATTTATTATTATTATTATTTAAAATCTAGTACCACAAATACAACCAGTTCAGCAAGTGTCGCAGGTTCAACAACTGCAACAAGTTGCGCAAATTCCGCAGGTAACGCAAGCACCGTCGGTAACTACAGTTCAATCAGCATCTTCAGTTCAGCAATCATCTCATTTTGTAACAAATATACAAGCGTCTTCTACAAATTTGCAAACTTCATATCATAAACCACCAGTCGCACCAGCTAAGTCACCTAATTTGCAAATATCCAGTACTTCAAAGAAATCGTTTTCACCTATACGCAAAACAAACAAACATAACTCCGGTTTAAGGGTTCGGAGTGCTTCCACGGGCCGTGATAAAAAGTCAGAACTTCAAGCACGTTATTGGGCATTGTTGTTTGGAAATTTGCAGCGCGCTGTAAATGAAATTTACCAAACTGTAGAGTGTTACGAAAATATATCATCCTGCCAAGAAGCAATACTTGTTTTAGAAAATTACGTGCGAGACTTTAAAGCACTAAGCGAGTGGTTTAAAGTATCATGGGACTATGAATCAAAACCGCTCCAACAAAGGCCTCAGTCGTTAGCGTGGGAAGTCAGAAAAAGTAATCCAGTACCTCGAGTGCGCGCAAAAAGTTTATCTAGCCCAAATGCATCTGGCCATTCGAGTCCAGGTTTGAGCCATTGTAGTTTGGGTAAGACTTCTCCATGTTGTGGCAATAATGCGGCGTCACCTCAAAAAGGCTTTCGAGCATACGATGCAGTTCCAAAGAATGCGATGCGTGTTAATGTGCGGGAATTATTTTCGTCTAGTCGAAAACCTATGGATGAGTATACAGAAAATGATCAACATTACATAAATTATTCTGATGGATCTCACGTTATTCATCCACAATATGAAAACCATATTGAATTAGAACGAAAACAAGATCTTGTTGATACGCCGCAGTTATGCAACCAATATTCGCAAACTGAACTTGAGGATGACCATTTAACACTGGTGGATATATTGGAGAAAATACGTTTAGCTAAAGAAAAAGAAAATGGTGAAAACAATGAAGTTACTTCGTTTAATAGTACTCCCAATAGTTTAAGTACTGAGGCCGATTTAAATATGATTTCAACAGATATTTCGGAAAATCAATTTCAAGACATAACATCTCATAACCAAGACGCTCAAATATATTGTTCACAAATTGCCGCAAACCAAGAGCCAAAATACTTTGAAATTGAAAATAATGAAAATCGTACGTCCGAAATAAATCCCGCAGTTAACACTACAACTTTAGCAAGCACGCATTATGAATCTGACGCATACGAAAGTACAACTACTAAGTCTGCTGCATCAATCACTAATGACAGTAATATTCATTTGGAATGTAAGATTAAAACCTCTGTAGATAAGAATAGTAATGCTCTAAATTGCTCAATATCAAATGTTACTGCTGCATCTCAAAAAGAACCAACTGCCTTAGAACTGACTATTCAAAAAATGAATGAAATGGAAAATAAAGTATTAATGAAAGATTCTCAAAAAAATCCAACGCCGCCAAATGCTGTATTGAAACAGGTCGAACCTGTTGCTAAATTAGATAATTCCTTAAAGAGTAGTACTATTGCAAAAGTTGAGCCTACATCAAAAGCACCAACTAATGCAAAAGTTGAGTCAATAGCAAAAGTTGAACAAACTATTAAAACGGTTTCATCATTAGATGGTCAAAAAAATGTAAAAACTCTTGCAGCTACAAGTCCTATTAAATACTCAAGCGTTTTAAATCGATCAGTAACACCTCTACAACGTAATTCTCCAAGAACGCCTGTTCGTGCTAGCGTTACAACGTCATCAGTTAATAAATCTAAAATAATAAATAAAACATCAACAACTACAGTCACAAAGCGTCCAGGTTTCAGTGTAGTTAACAACATAGCTCAGCCACAACGAAATTCAGCTCGTTACTCAAATAATTTACCTCAACGCGTGCTCACTAAATCAAATGCCAACGTACTGCAAACAAATTCATCGAACCAACTCTCCGTAAGATCTCGAACTATGCTTGATATTAATACTGATAAAACAAATCCAAAAGCTTTGCGAAACTCCACGTCGTCTGTTCAAAGATCATCTCATGAAGATATTGAAAGTTCAACATCGACGCTTAAAGCGAGTAATGAACTTATTTCTTCTTCACGTGGTAGTCTCGTTCAAGGTAGTAAGATCAACGACCGACGTTCTGAGCCAAAGCAACTTCCTTCTGAAGCCAATGGTGGTTGGCTCACAGTCAAGAATCGCCGTCGATCAAGTATGCATTGGTCAAATCGGTTTAATCAACCTACAGGATATGCCAGTCTTCCAACGCTCGCTCTACTTAATGAGAAAAGTGGTAGTGAAGAGCGACAACAGAAACCAAAAAAAACAAACACTGCGGCTTCGACGGCAATACTCGCGTCCACAAAGAAGCAGTCAAACGCACAAAAGCAAGCATCAGATACTTCATCGACAGCCATAACAAAATCTTTGGAAAAGAAACACTCCAATGCACAAACACCAGTGTCAACAAATGTAGCAATGACAGCTTCGGAAAAGAAGCAGCCAACCGCACAAAAGCTAGCGGGATCGTCAAATAGACAAACCAAGCAGTTGAAAACACAAAAAGTAACTGAAAAAGTAAAACCAAATTTACGATCAGATAAAAAAAGCTCCAAAACAAAAGGAAGTATACCAGCTGTACAACAAAAACAATTACCTGCGCAATCACAAAAGCTGACAAATCCGGTACAAATAGTTAAAAGCAATTATTTGCCCTCTATACGACCAGCTATAATTAAACGTCAAAAATCTGACTTAACTGGCCTTAAAATGACGTCCTTACACAAGGAATATATGCGAAGTGAAAAGAATGCGCAACGGAAGCAAAGTGACCAAACTACAGCCAGTGAGGAGGAGCGCTTCAGTGATATAAATGCAAAACATGGAAGTACGGAGAAAAATGGCAAAAAAGGTAAGTTTTACAATCAATCCCATTTGTAATGAAATAATTTAAAAAGGAATAACGTAATATTTTTTTATTTAAACAATAATATTTAAACAATTATTTAAACAATATTGTATATATTTTTTATAGGAAATTCCGACGCGCAAAATAAAATTGATATTAAAATACAAACAAACTGCGATTTTTCGAAAACAATTGTTGATCTCTATGAGAGCATTTCGCCGATTTCGAAATTAGAGCCTAAACTTCCAAACAATGAGAATAACTCGGACGCTTTGTCCAGCTGTGATGAACACGATGAAACATTAACAAATGACTTAGAATTTGATGAAGAGCATCAGCGTAAGTTGGTTGAAGAACAAGAGTCCTTAGAGCGTCAGATACGGGAATTAGAAAATAGTGAGATCGATGTCGATACTGAAACAGATGAAACTGATTGCGAAGTAGTTTTAGATAATGAACATGATAGTGATGATGCTGAGGCAATGATAAATACAGCACTTGATGATGTTTTCTCTGTAAATAATGAATCTGAGAGCGATGCCAATTTGAGTTTAGAAATGCGTTATCATGCATTGCTTTCGGATATGTCATGGGGTGAACGTGAAGAAACGTTAGCAACATTACAAGCATACGTCTCACGACATCCTGGTCGAGCACAACTTTTACATCAAAAACTATCATCGCCATCACGCAGACGTTCCCTGCAGGAAACTTTAAAAAAATATCAAGCAAAGCAAGCCCGTGCTCAGCAAAAACGTGAATTATTGCAGAAGGAGAAGGCAGTAAAAATTCAGCAATTATTAACACGTGTGGAAGGAGTCAAAGCTGCAAAACAACAATTAATAGAAAACAGGAGAGCGAAAATGGAGGATCGTTTGCAGCGAGCTGCAGAAAATCGTGAGCAGTTTTTGCGACAAATTGTAGAGAAAGCCCATGATGAGGAGAAGAAACTTAAAGAAATAAATTTTATTAAAAATATTGAGGCACAAAATAAGAGACTTGATTTGATTGAATCTTCTAAAGAAACTGAAGGCAGACTACAAGACCTAGAGCATGAGAGACAAAAACGTTTAGAAGAAAAAGCTGCAAAAGAAGCTGCTGCCGAACGTCGTCGTCAAGAAATGGAGAAAGAACGACAACGTAAAGTTGAAAAAATAAATGAGAGTCGTTTAGAAAAGGAGCAACGAATTGGAAAAAGACAAGAACTTAAAGAGTTGCAACGACAAGCTTTGGCAAGGGAAAAACGACGAGATCGCGAAGAGCGACTTTTGGCTTTGCAAGCTCAACAACAGCAGTCAATAGAAGAGCTTCAGCGTAAAATATTACAAAAGCAGCAAGAGTATGCACGTCGTCACGAAGAAAATATTGAGCATATACGTCAACGTGCTCTAGAACTTTCGATTCCAACTCGAAACGTTGATGATAATGAACGTACTGAAGATGGCGGTGCGGCTGGAGGTGACGAATGCGAAATTTCTTCTACCATTTCAGATAATGGAAGCCGCGAACAATCGCGTGCGTTCAGAAAGAAATTAAACAAAATCAAAAATCGTTTGCAAACCGCGTAAGTTTATATACATTAGAAATTTTGTTCCTAATTAAATTATACTCATATTTTTTAAAGAACTGAATCGTACTTCAAAGAACTGGAACCTTTGCCAGCAAACATAAAACGAACTAGTGAAATACCAAAATTCCTGAATGTTATTATAAAAGGTGGTGGTAATCCTGGATATGAAAGGCCATTGGGACAAATAATTCGTTTGCTGCAAAAAGCTGCTATTAATGACTTTCAGTGTTTTTATCTTTTGGATGGATTGGGTACCATAAGTAGTCTCGTTATCACTGCAGGAATGCAACCTAATTCGGGAATTAGTAGAAAGTTTGTTTTTAAATACATAAACACAAAAGGCTTCATTTAAATTATTAATTCCTTTTCTATTTAGAGCAACTGTTCTCGCCGTTCAATTGTACCGTGACGCTTGTACAAATTGTCCGCAAATAGCTCGTCACGCTATTTTAGGGAACACCATCTTACAGATTTTCGATGCGCTCAACAAAAGCTTGCAGGTATGTTATGGTTCTTTACGTCATTTCTTGCTACTATATCGTTTAATGACCTATCAATTTAATAATTATAAATATATACATGTATGTAGCTCCGTGCTTTTATGACTTTTTTCAATGTATAAATAGCTTGCGCTACCGAAGCTAAAGCTACGCGAAAATACAGTGAATCAAAAAAGTTTAGGCACAGCAACATAGCAATATTTATTTTAATAATTTTTTTTTCAATCAGTGAGTAATTGTAGGTTTTTTGCATCACGGCGCATATACATAATTCCAATTATAAGCACAAAAAAAATTGTACAACAAAAACATTTTAAAAAAGTTTAGGTACACGATAATCTTCAAATATTTTTTTTTAAATTTTGTTAATTAAAGCAAATTATTTGCACACAAGCTAATAGTACGTTTCCAATGGCTTCGTAAGACCAGTTAACTTACTTGAGATTGCTTGAATTATTTGAATCTAAAGTAAGTTAAGTGGTCTAACGAAACTAAACCAGGAAACGTACTATAAATTTAGTTTGAGTCCCGTGCACGCACACTTTAAAAAACTTTCGGTGCTGCAGTTCTGCTGCTTGAGCGGTAAAAATATGACATGCCACAGTGAAGCCGTTGGATGTTGTTATTGTGGTAGCCCGCAGGGATCTGTTTGTAAAATCCTTTTTGGGGGTGGTGAACGATATTTCATTGTCGTGGTTGACGAGTGGCTTCGGAACGTAGACCCGGCCCTGCTTGGAACCGAGTCGGTGGATCATGTACACTCTTGAATATGATCTAATATAGTTTATAATCGCTCATACGTTTGAGTTGTTGTGCTGTGCGTGTTTTGGTGCACGTGTTATTGGGCCATCGGGTTTTTAAAATTGATTGACAATTGGCAAAGGTGATTTCTGCTGTAACTAAAATAAGGAAGTTGGGAATCGTTAATAGCGATAGCATTGTATTTGTATGACTCGAGAAAAATTGTATACAAATTGAACACCGATCTAAAAAATATCACACAATTCTTTATTTATATGAAAATGATAAAACATCTTTATTTGAACATATATGTAACACATTTAAAGTCAACTCTTTGACGGTTGAAGCTAGTATATTTTCTTAAAAATGTTCAAAAATAGGTATTTACCCATTTTCATATTAATACACATGAGATTACCCATTCCAATGACACCATACATCTTTGACATTGCCTCAACCAGTAGAAAATATGAGTTTATGAAGGCAAACATATATTTTTGCAAAACATTGCTAATCTATTGACTAGAAATGATTCATCATCCACTTAAAACAACTAGAAGCATCACGTTAGTCTCCAAATATACAATCGATTGAGTATACTTGGCATCTGCTGAAAAAACGCAGTCATCACAAATCTTTGACTGAATCCCTAAGAGTTGCCATTTGGACGGAATGGGCAAATATAAAATCAGAGAAGGTGTCTAGTGTAAAGTATATGTAAATGTATAATAGAAGTCATGCTCATTCTGGATTTTTTTCTAACATTAACCAAAAATAAAAATTAAATAAAAATAGTTTTTGTTTCAAATATATATAATAAATTATTTCTTATTCAAATAAAATTATTTTTTAAGTTTTGTATGAAAAAAATTATTAAAAAACAATCTTTGTAAATGCCCTTTTGCTTAAACTTTTTAATTTACTGTATATCAAAGCGATTATTATAGTCGTAATTAGGATTTTAGGTGCTTTATATATTTATTATTGCGAGTTCGAGTAAATTGAGGTAAAGTTGTTTGAAATTTCCCAGAGATTTTTTGCACTCCACTTATGTAAATATTTATGTATTTATTTATTGCACTTATTTATTATTTTTGAGTAAAAGATTTCAAATTAATTTTTTTATTTATTAAACATCTTATAAAATTTTCACAATGGTAACACCTAATTTAACTAATTTTTATCTAATTTACCCAACTCGAAATTTTGGTAAATGCCGACATTCGCTGCCATACCGACATAATTTACTATTTCACTCAATTTACTCGAATTCGGACACGGCTTAAGAATGTATTTATATGACTTATGCTTATCATATTGCTCTAAATATCTATATCACATTATTCGTGTAGTATAGATAATGACCTTGTCCAAAATTTTTGAGCACGTTTACGAATTTTTTTCATGTTTTAGACTTTTGTTTACATTATTGAGTAATAATTGTTCACTATGGACGTGTGCGAGTCCAAATGGTAGATTTTTTGGGACTTTTTGCACTGCACACATTTAGCCATTTATCAACACGTATCGACACATCACTACATTATCGGCACAACTTAGAATTTCCCTCATTTAGAACGCAACTTGGCCTAACTCGCACACGTCCTATATCTATAAAGAAATCAATTTAATATAATGAATTTTTATAATTTTTTTTTTAAATGCATTACAAAGGTTGACACATGTGATGAAAATAGTATTTTATAGCCAGATTTGATTGAACAGCTCAGTATTGATCGGCTCTTCCTTTTTGTCGTCCATGAATTTTATATGTAAAAATTTATGATTTCAGAATAAAAAATAATAAAGTAACTATAATGCAAACTGGGCATTGAATCTATTATCCCCGGGGAAAGGGGTTATAATATTCTCGAGATAAGGCCTGCCCGTCGTAAGTGGTGACAAAAATTCAGTGTCATCATCCGATACTGTTTTGAATGTAAATGGTAGTGAGTTTTCACTTGCGACCCAAAGTGTGAATGTGTTGCCACGGAGGTCAGAACCCTAACAACTTTGAGTCCAACCTTAACGTGTTTTATGATTGAACATATCGAATGTTATCATTTCTCAGTTTTTTTATTCATGTTCTTCAGTCACTCTGCAACAACGATTTTCGATTCCTCAAATATTAAATTCCAAAATGAATCTCACATTGATTAGTGGTGTCAACAGCCCAAGTGTTAAAATTAAAAATGAATTTAACATTAATTAATTGATTCTGGTGTTGATGTTGTAATCAGCAGGGATTTTCTTGTGTAGTCCCTTTCTAGGTGTTGTGAAGGACATTTGATCGTCGAACTCGAGAAGTGACTCTGAAAGTTGATCTGGCCGTCCTTGGAACCAATTGATTCAGCTGTTAATTAGTTGCTTTAACTATAACAGATTTGTAAAATTGATTTTATATGCCTCTATTTTTATTAAAATATGAACTATAAACAACAAAATAAATAGTTATAGTAAAATTATTATTAATATTACGGTGAAAGTGAAAGTAAAGGTCTATTACTTCACGTTTAAATTCGGTAGGTCTTGTCTAATATTCTAGGATTGAATACGAAAGCATTTTTGTGTATAAATTTCAATGGTTATTGTTATAATTAATTATTTATAATAAAAATACATCACAATGTTTTAAAATCACCCAGATTTGGTTACAAAATATTTACTGAATATAATAAAGATTATTCTTTTCCTTTTCCCCTTTGTGACAATGACTCTCACATTATTGTTTGATTACATCTCATTATGCACATGCTTCACTCAATTTTCTGATTGCAGCTGGCCGGAGAGTAAATATGTAAGAAAGCTTAAACTATGTTTCGACTGTAGGTAAATCAACATATATTAATTAAATTAAAAATTTATCGTTTCCATTGGCTTAAGCTGATTTATTTATGTGAAAGAGCTTTTTTGTCTTAGAAAGTTCTGTGCAAGTTCTAGGAGAGCCTTTGTTTGTTTAGATTTTAATTGATATCAAAAATTTTTTTGTTACATAATATATGACAATAATAATATAATAATAAATATATATTATATATAATAATAATAATTTTATATAATATATAATAATAATTATATAAAATATATAGTGATAATTATATATAATATACAATAATATTAATATATATTATATTATAATAATTATATATAATATATAATAATAATTATCATTAATATATAATAATAATTTTATGTAATATATAATAATAATTGTTATATATAATATAAAATTATAAATATATATAATATACAATAATAATTTTATACTCTGTAATGTTGTCAAATATATATTTGATTTATAAATTCATTTATATGTATAGTCTGATGTATTAATTATATACTTTATTTATAAAAAGCAAACATATTAAAAAATTCTTACGTACAACTTGTTTATTTACATTTTGTTTCATGTGTCAAATATGTCAAATTTTGATAATTTCCCTTTTGGGAAATATATTTTGCCATGTTTCATTCGATAATTTTGGTATTATATCACTTTATTTATTCTTAACAAATAGTACATTCACACTGTCTCATTTAGATACATGCAAATTTATATTTCATTTATGCAGCTTATAGTACTTTTATAAACTTATATATCACACAAAAAAATTAAATATATTATTGATATATTAAATCATTTATATATGGTACATTTTATATATCAATTACATACTCAATTAATAAAAACAAAGATTTTATTAAATACTTTCTTTCTCAGTGCCATTGTTTACAGATCAGTTGTTGTTTGTGTACATTTTACATATAAAACAAACGAAAATTATTTCAAATTTTGGTCATTTCCCTTTTGGGAAATTTATTTTTAAGGGTTGCATTTGAGAATTTTTGCCTTAAATGCGCTGATTTATTGATAATGAGCTCATTTATATGAAACAATTTTGTATGGTAAATCATCCTCAATGAGCAAAACTGCCTAAATGAGACAGTGTGAATGTGTTATAAGGTGGAAAACATAAAAGCTTTTCGTATGGTTAATCAAGTTCATTAGTGACCTAAATCAAATAAACAGCTTTAATGAAGGTAATGGGAATATATAAATAGCCTTCTTCCGTAAGAAACCTTATGTTTGTAGTGTTAGTTGGTTATTGCATATTTTTGGTGCAAGTAAAAAAAATTTTTTGACTACAAAATTTTTGACTTCTAGTATTATAGCATTATTGCAAACATTCTTTTGTTGCTGTAGCATTATTGCAGAAACTGCTTTAATTGTCTTTCCTTCTTCGTATATTTCTGACAGT